AACAGTATCTATCTCTTTTATGAAAAGTTTTTTTAGCTTAAAGTTTATTATATCTTCATACTTAACCTTGAAATACTTCTTTTTACCAGTAAAGCAAACAGGAAATAATATCTATTCGTATGCCATCTTTAGATAAAAGGTCTCACTTTTTATCCTAAAATAGGCATTTATTTGATTGCACAACTTTTTCATCACATTCATAGTAATTTTGACTATTTCAGTCCAGTACGCTTCTTTGGAAAGTTTTTTTCTAAAGAAAGCCTTATCTTATTTTTGTAATACCTGTCAGGGCAAGTGAGATATAAAGAATCAGTATCTCTATATTTTAATCCAAACCCTTTCTTTAATACAAATTTTGTGACAAAATTAAAATTGTATTTTCTCACTATAATAGTTTTATAGACTAATTCATGAAGAAAGATTGGAGATTTTGAGTTTTTTACTTTTTCATAAAAAGTGTTCATATATTCTTTCAAAGCTCTCTGCTTTGAATTAAAATAATCACAATTGAAGCATATGGTTGAATATTTTAAATTTAAGCTTTCTAGAATCTTTTATTTCTTTCTTTAGTTGAACTTATCATCTTCTTAAGGTGACTCTTTTTCTTTCCTAATGGAGTTAGACGTGCTTTAAGCTTCAGTCTCTTATTAAATAAATCTTCTAATACAACTGAATATAGGCCTTTCTTTTCTATTTAGCTATTATGATATATGCATCAAGCTTAAATGATGTCTTTATTAAATGAAAACTCAATTTTATGCAAGTTGTTTCTATTATTTTACACAATATTAGCATCCTTAGGATCAAATATAAATTTTCTGGAAAGAGGTTATATGCTATAGTAATGCTAAGATATAATGAAGCAAAATTTAATCCCATTACAGATCTTCTCAATTCAATCCTGTTTTTAGATGAAAATACATATGCGCTAGAATATTTTTCTTTTTTTATGTTTTCAGAAACCCTTATATTAATTACTATATCTTGTTTGACAGCATATGTGCTAAGAAGGTTGTGTACCTTCATTTTATTTGCGTGATAATGTGTATTAAAAAGAGAAACGTAAGTTATAGAAGCAACTTCTTTATAATCATTTATTATACTTTAGTTTACTAAAATCTCTTGACAGTGCAGTACATCTATAATATAGTAATATACTATTTTACGCATATTTCTTACATTTGATGAAAAAAAGCTTTTTTTCATCTCTGAATAAATTTTTCACATTTTATTATATGGTATGTCAGCCTTACTATTAAGACTGCACTTTTGTAAAAAGAATTTAAGTGAGCTTTTCTTTTTGACTTTAGAATGAGAAAAACATTTTTTGAGATATACCTGAGTGTTAATTAATATATAATCAGGTAATTTAAAAAACTAAAAATAAAATCATCATTCTCATTTGGAGTAATTTTGATTCTAATTGGTCCTCCTAAATATTCCTTTTTCTTCAGATCCTCCTCGCCTTTCTCAGAAGCTTTAATAGTACCCTTTTTCTTGAAAACATTTTCAGATTTTACTTCTATATTTTCATGATATTTCTACTTTATAATTTCTTCCTTTATTTCAAACTTTCTTGTCATTCGCTTTCACATCTATTTGAGTATGTTGAAATGATATACTCTCTCTATAATAAAATGCCAATTATAATCAGAATTATTAAACCTAACTTGAATGTCAAATGCAAATGCTCGCCAGCAAAAGGCAAACGCTTTTAGCAGATTTTCTTAGTTTTCACATATGATTGTGATCTAGTGTGGATCTGATTCTGTTACAATATCAATAAGACATATTTGCTTTAGTGACTTTAGACCATCTTTCGATAAAATGTCATACAAATCATAAAAATATTATGATTTAGATCAAGAACTTTAGTAAATTTATCCAACTCTCGTGATTGTATCTTTATATTCTATGTTAAGATAAGAGTATAATCTCGTAAAAGAGTTGAAATAAGAAATTGATTACTTATTATTCTAAAATCCTCTAGTAGACAAAAATCTTTTATAGATATATAGAATTCATGTGAATAGAGTAGATTGGTCTGCTTGCTTTTCTTGCATATATATTTGTTTAATATAAATTATCCAAAGAGTTAGATTTTATTTTCTTGAGTTATCTTTCAGTAGAATAAGTATAAATCATCTAAAATAGTTTCAAAATTATTTTCTTAGATAACTTGAATGGCTTTCTTTTTCCTATCAGTACTATTTGTATAATTTGTAAATATGTTTTTTTGTATAGTATCCACAAAAGAGAATTCTTTAATGTACTCTATTTTATATGATTTCATAATGGCAGAGAGAATTTTATTCACTTTTTTTTCGCATTCATCTGGAGTCTCTCCATCTGATATGAGAATGTCAAAGAAAACCTGAATTCCTATAGGAGTTACCAATGCCTTTTGGTCATTAATAAGGTGATCATAAAAACGCAATACATAGCAGTATATTCCTTTTATCTTTTTTGATGATTCTTTACTATCAATAGCTATGAATGGAATTTTTTGGCAACTGAATAAAGCATCATTAAAGATTGTGATTAATCCTTTATCATTTTCTGCAACTATATTATTCAAAGTTAGAATGCTTAACAAGTATTTTTCACTGGAATAGCAAATTACCTACCTTTCATTTTATCTTTTTCAGCTTTTAAGTGAAAAAGGACAGGGTATCTAAAAAGTTTGAAAGCTCAGAATGGGTTATTTTTAGATAATTTTTGAAAGCTATATAATATCCTAAACTCAGAATATACTGTTCTGAAAAAAAAGTTTAAATAAAAAATAAATATAGAAATATAAGAGATACCTAATGAGAGCTAAATTTATTTGCTAATATCTTTCTAATGAAGGGAATATATGCGAATAAACTTGTAACTGACAAGAAGGATGTAAAATTCATTAAAAAAGGTGTTAGTGAAACTTTTGCAAACAATGTAGAAAACCAACTATTTCAACCCATAATATATGTAATTTACATGTAGATAAGTATTATTCAAAAATATATTACTATAAGAAGAAGTTAAATACCTTAGAAAAATCTGCCCTAGAAAGTTTTTGACTTTCAGAGATAGGAGAAAAATAGCAAATTTCTATTTTCAGAATGAAAGGAATATTTTTCAGATGGTCTGTTCTAGATGTCCTAGGTGACCTAAAAAATTTCAAACTTCTTTACTTTTATAATATATATTTAATACATAAAAATTTTGATTTTGTTTCTAGAATTTTATTTTTACTAGAACACCTAGAGAACCTAGAAAGATAATACAAGAACAAGTTAAATTGAGAAAAGACCACTTTTTCTTATAATAAAATCTGTCTTAATAAGTAGTCCAGTAAAATTTATATCTTAAGATACTCAAAAAAATAGCAACTATGTTCGAAAGAATTTACCAGAGAAGTATAGAAGCAAGAACAAGAGTAATGGTGATTTCCACAAGTAGAATTATATTAAGAAAAGAAAATAAAAGTTTTGCTCATAGAGGCTACCAGAAAATAGGTAAGAAAGGAGTCAGAAAGGTAAAAAGGTTCAGGAAATACACAAAAAAGGAGTAATTGAACTAAATTGGCATTTCACATGTGTCTCATTCTCAGCAGGATTGCGAGCACAATGTGAATTTAGCATTCAAGCTCAGCACAATGAATCTCACCCTCTCGTCACATCTAATATTTTTTTACACCGCATCTTAAACATATCTCCTCAATAATAAAACCCATAATGCAATCAAATCCAAAATTGACAATTAATTGTCTTGCATTAGAATCACTTAATGAAAAAAAAGATATATATAACAAAAAACTACATAGCGCAAACAGGTACTAGAACTGAATCAAATCTTTAAATAGCATATAACTAACCAGTATTCATAATGAGAAATAAAGGTCACGTAATATATCAAAAAATGCATATCATAAATAAATTCCAAAGTCAAATCAAAGCCTCAAACGATAAATAACAAATAAGTAATTGTGAAAAGAAACAAAAGCCAAATACTATACCAAAAAGCTTCATATAATAATAATGTAAAGTAAACAGAAAAGAAGAAAGGCAACCTAATGGGCAAATAAAAAGAGAAAAGGAAAAAGAAAGAAAAAAAGAGCACTGTAATAATTATAAAAATAAGTAAGTAGAAAGGATGATCACAAAATAAGCCACTAAAAGTTTGTAAATAACTGAAAAATAAATACATTTGTAATATGATAGCAACCAGAAAACAATCTAATAGTAATTAGGTTATAATTTACTGTAACTAAGTCACAATATAATATATATTGTGATCTAGTTATTAATTAAACAATAATATAAAATTGTTTAAAAAAAAATATTTAAATGTTTTGAATAAAAAAATTTTATATTTATTTCTGTAAAACAATTTAGGAGTGAATAGTTTATATTTGTATTCATATTTTATAATAATACTAATAAAAAGTATTGTAATTTTACTTAATAATAGCATTCAAATATGTTTGTAAAGATATTAATTTAAATATTTAATATATATTAATTACTTTAGGATAAAGTTAAAAACATGTTAATGTTTAGATGATAAGTTTTAATGATAAAATTAAATTTGAAAGATTTTATTCAAAAAAAATAATGAAATTAAAATCATACATAAATTTATTGATTCCTAATAACAAATTAAAAAACTGGATTGACAATGTTATTATTATCAAAAAATATAAATAATTTGAATGATATAAAAAAGATAACAAATGATAGTGTAGCAAAGGAGGATTTATGTAAAATTTTTCTTCAATTAAATAATTTAAGATTGGGTCTTAACTAACTATTAATGATTTATAAGTTTATATTACTTTTACTGATTTACAATATCGAGTCACGTTATAAAATATCTCGATTTTTATTGGTCAATCAATTACATCGACTCATCTGACGGGTGAGATCGATCTTTCCTTTTTTTTTTGGTGATAAAGGGTTTTTAAGTTTTGAGATTTTCTACCCAACCTTGTTATTTTGTCAATATTATCAGTAGATAAAATGGATCAAGCAGTATACGAAAATCTTTCACACGCACTTTCCTCAAACCAAAGCCTACGATTAACAGCAGAGGCAAGGCTAAAAGAGTTGGAAAAACTTCCAGGTTATATATATAAATATAAAATTATTACGCGTTTGGACGCGTCTAGTCTTCAAGAGTTACATTATACTAACTAGTATTCCAATATACTACATAAATCATATAGAATATCCTATAAGTCTTGCTAAAATGGCAATTTCACAAGAAGTGGCTATTTCATATCGACAAATATCCTTGCTCTTTCTCTTTATTAATATTATTTGTTAGTTTCCCTGTTATATGTTTTTCTTAATTTAATTATTAATTTATAATTACTCAGCAGCAATTAATCTGAAAAATTATGTCGAAAAGCATTGGTCGCCTTTGACTGATAAATTCATAGGTCCAGAGCCAGATTTTGAGGTTCATCATAATTAAGCATAATATGCTGCTATTTTGTTATATTCTGTATTATAATTTACCTTTAATTTAGATAAAAGCTGTTGTACGCGAATTAGCATTTAATGGATTATCCGATCCTTCAAGTAAAATTCGCGTCGCTTCGGTATCACTTCTTTTGTATATAATTATCGAATAGTTTTTGTTTTTTGCGATTATTTTAATAAGGTGTATGCTTTATTGCATATTATAGGCTTACGTTATATCAAAGATTGCTAGCAACGATTGGCCTGATCATTGGCCGGATCTTTTGGATTTATTGATATCACAATTAAAGTCTGGTTCTCCAGATCAGATCCATGGTTCTATGAGGGTCCTTAATGGTAATTTTATATTAACTATTATCATACAATTGACTGTTTATAATATTTAAGTTTAGGAATAACATATTTATAATTGTCAAGAATTTTTTAAACACGATATTACGGAACAACAATTTTCTCAAGTAACTCCATTATTGTTGCCAGAGCTTTCGAAAATTTTGCAATCTGAAGGGGTAAGTAGTTCCAAACCTAGATGTATTTTTTATTTCATATGATATGTCAATATTGATTTTTTAAATGTTTGAAGATTCATTCTTACAGAACTCGTGGACGTGCAATTGCGATATTTAAACAATGCATAGAAATATTGGTTATGCTTAAAGAAGAACACCCGGAAGCAATCGAGCCTTTTCTAAAGCCTATGTTACCCGAATGGTTGAAAATTTTTTCGAATATCTTGAAGATGCGAACCATCAATGACGATGAACGTGAAAATGAAGAATGTGGATTAAAATTAGAAGTTGTAAAGGTAAGGATATATGTTCTTATAATTAACATAATTCGGTAACAAAAATCTTAATTAATTTGTTACATCGTAGTGTTTGAATTATTTAATAAAACATTTCCCGAAACTACTTTCTGATTATCTTCTTATGTTATTGGAACCGATCTGGCTGGATTTGATTCATCAACGGGATAGATATCCTTTAAATATATAATATATAATTTATTTAATTTTATTGTCTTTAATTAATTCATTATTATTATTTTTTTTTTTGACAATCCAATACGTTTATTAACATGTATGTCCGTCCTTCTGATGATCGAATAAATTTTTATCAAGATTCTGATGGAGATGTTGTCGGCTTTGAATATTTACTTTTCGCTCAATTCGAATTCATTGGTTTATCTGTCCGTAAAAAGGCAGCTAAACCACTTTTTAAGGATAATGATGGGAAGGGTAGTTTTTTAAAACAAATTACTTGGATTGCTGTGTCTTACATGCAAATGACTGAAGAACAGGTTTGTTGAATTATACATAATAAGTTAAGTTAACATTATTTATTAACTGCTCGGTTTTACATGCTTCTAGGTTGAAACTTGGTCGTCAGACGCAAATCAATTTGTCGCCGATGATGATGATGAAACTTTTAATTATAGCGTTAGGATCGCAGCAATTGATTTATTACAAGTAAGTATCAATTTAATTGCGAAATTTAATTTGTTTTGTTTTCTTTAATCTAAAAATTTTGATGTGAAGGTATTGCTAGATAAATTTTCGGAACAAGCTTTGCAAGCCCTTGCTGATACAGCCCAGCATCTTATAGAAGAATCTGATAAAGCACGTGCTACTTGTGATAAATGTTGGTATGTGGTATTTTGGATATTTATATGTTATTATTGTTCTTAAACATTAAAAGTTTAATTTGACATGTCTAGGTGGAAAATGCAAGAGGCTTGCTTAAAAGCAATCGGTTATGTTTCTGAGGAATTCAAATCAGCAATTCAAGAGTCAAAAGTGAATTTTGACCTCACTGGATTATTTGAACACGTTGTGTTTAATTATGTTACTGCAATAGGTTCGCACTATTGAATTAATTTATTAGATTCGAATTATTACTTCCAACTAACGTGTTTATTTTTCTTCTTGAAGATATTCCTTTTCTTCAAGGACGAGCAATCGTGTTTGCTAGTCAGTTTGCTACATTCTTATCAGAAGAACTTGCGGCACGGTATATTGCTGCCACTGTCGATGCAATCCAACGAATCGAATCAATTCCTGCCAAAGTATCTTCGTTAAAAGCGTTGCAGAAGTATGTATATTTTTCATATCAATATTATTATTTATAAATTTCTATAATTTCAATCTAACTAATAACGTTATTTATTATATTAGTTTCTGTCGTTATTTAGATACAAAATATGTAGCTCCATATCAATCTAACATAATTGAAGGAGTGGCAACTCTTTTGAATGTTACATCTGAAGATTCATTAATATTAGTACTAGAAACGTTAGAGTTTGCGATCAAAGTAAGTAAATCCACGATACATAACAAATGTAAACTTGATTAACTAAATATTTTGCTAATAATTACCTTTTTCTTTGCTTAGATAAATTATGATGTAACGGCCAGATATGAGCACGTGATAGGACCATTAGTAATTGATGTATGGATGAAAAATCCTACTGGTACAAGCCTTCTTTATATTTCGGTTTATAGTTTATTAATACCTTTTCTATATACATATATATTAATGTCAACATATTTTCATATTTCAGATCATCTTATTGTTTCTGTTATAACAGATCTTTTTGAATCCTTAGCAAGCAACGCAGCTGCATATGCCGCGTTTCAGTCCAGAGCATTACCTACTTTAGTCAATATAATAATCAATGCTACTGAATCTGCAGCGGTTGCGGTAATACGTCTTTATACTTTTAAATTTTTAAATTTTTTTAAAATAATAAATATATTTATAAAGTTTGCATTTGGATACAGTCAGCAATAGATCTAATAACAAGTTTGGTTAAGGGTGGACCTTCACCTTTGCCTACTTCGTACGTTGAACATATATTTCCTTCGTTAATACATTTAATGTTAGTACATGAAGATAGGAGTATTTTACAGGTCAGTAGACATTTCTTAGTTTATCTAATTAATAAATAGACAATAATAATCCACAAAGTTTTTAATATGATTATAGAACGGCGAAATTTGTTTGAAGTACTTTATACAAAAGGATTGTGAACATATCTCACAATGGTATATAATTAAAATTTTCTTTTTGTTATATAATGTGTATTAATGAAATATTTCTCTGAATTTAGGATGGATTCATCTGGAAAAACAGGCTTAGATTATGTAATACAATATATTGCAAAATCTCTTCAACCAAGTCAGAGCGAGTCTGCTTGCTTTCTCGGTGATCTAGTTGTCAAACTAATCAATAAGGTATAGTTTTATGTTGTAAATTTTGATTATATATCTCAGTTACTTAAGTTATTTAAATTATATTTATAGGCGGGTAATAGGATTGTTCCTGTACTTCCAGACCTACTTAAAGCAGCCGCTACCAGGCTAGAAGGAGCAAAAACTGCCACTTTCATACAGGTATCATAAGATCACGTTATGATCATATGAATAACTGTCTTGTGACTCGATTTTAATAGCAAACGACCCATATTTATTTGTGTAATCAAATTATATTTATAAATTACCTTTTTTTCATTTTTCAGTCGTTAGTTATGATATTTGCGCACTTAATGCTAAGCCAGTTGTCGACAGTCGTCGAATTCTTGAGTACGTTGGACATCAATGGTCGAAATGGATTAGAATTATTACTTAATATTTGGCTCGAAAATCACGAGAGTTTTCAGGGGTATTATAGTATTAAAGTTAGGTATATATTGTTACGACATATTATTTTTTATTTTTATTTATCATGTATATTTTTCTTACAAGGTATCATTTTTTAGTTCCATTGCGTTATCAAAATTATTTCTTTCTGGTGATCCACGAATACAAGGTATCCAAGTTAAAGGTGATTTAATTGTCACGAATTCCTCTAGTATGTATTTCCACTCTATATTCTATTATTAAAATAAATTAGACTTAGATAACTTTAATCATTATTATTATTATTTTAAAAAAATCATTATTTATATAATCACTTATAAGGGATTATGACTCGATCAAGAACTCTAACAAGTATGTTAGATTAAGTATATTAAATATAAATTTCTAATACTATCGAATTATTCCTCATCTCCACAATTTATATTTCTTCTTGTAGATCCTGACCAGTATATCTATATTTCCGCCAACGTAAAGATAATTAAATTACTAATTTGTGACTTTCAGAACTCATCAGACAGCGATCTCATAAAGCGATCAGAATTGGATTATGACGACGACGATGATGATGATAGCGTTGAAACCGATGATGGTGTAAGAAGGATTACAAATTCAATTATTCATCAATTTTTATTTTTTGCAACAATCCCTTTAAACAATTCAAATTGTCTTATTCACATAAGTGCGATGAATGGGAGGATGTAGAAGAACCTTCACCATTCGCCCCAGCAGAAGATTACGTTGTTCTTTCTGGTAGCGTATTTATGTTATGCGACTGCCATATTCATTTCAATGATTTCTAAAAAAAAAAATTTTTAATTTATAGAATACATAGATAAAAAGGGAATAGAAATAGACCTTGATGATGACCCGGATGTGAAAGATGACCCAGTTTATCTTACGAATCTTAGAGTAATATCATTAATTTTTTGTTTATTTTATTTTATTTTTTTACATCGAAATACAAACAAACGAATTAATTTTCATTATAGGAATATCTTACGGACTTTTTCCGTCATTGCGTAATTCAAAATGAAAATAATTTTGTTCATTTATGTTCCGATTTAAAAGAAGAAGAACAACAAAAATTACGATTATTAGTTAATGACAAATAAACATAGCATTAGTATTTTAGTTACTTATATACATTACATTTTTTCTCGTAAAATAAAACGAATGTATTTTAATTTGATTAAGTTTATTCATTTCCGTGCAAGCGTGTACAGATGGAGATATAGTAAAAAGGAGCAATTGATATCACATATCGTCAAAAGATATGCCTTTTACAACTGAAAGAAATATTCCAAATTAGATTTTGTTACCAACAAATAAAACATATCTGGTGGATGACAAAATTCATTTTCATGCGAAAAATTTTTTAACGTCAACTTGTTGAAGGTATAATGGTAATGATGGATTATGAAGTTGCGTGTTCTTAAAGAAACGATTATGAAATATTACACATGCCGTCATTGCGAATACAATGATTTTGATCTTTGATGAAAATGCCCCAAAATTAAGCGGGTTAATTGGATTATTCTCACTAAATATAACCCATTAAAATTTGTATAATTAAAGTTATATGAAATCTTTTTTTTTTTTTTTTTTTATCTAATGATTGAAATTTTACACAAGGAAATAAAACGAATATCTATTCTATTTCATATAATTAAACCATTTATTTATTTTAATTTAATTGAACGTGCCAATGATATAAACTTCTGTTAAATTCTGATCGAATGCTTAATGATAGATTGGGTTTTAAAATTTCAACGTTTTGTTTGCTGCTTTTTGAATTTTTATGATCCATTCATTGCTTTTGCTTAATGTATACAAAAGTTATTTAGTTATTTATTACTTTTATGCGTTTTACGGCCAAGTATTATTACATCCAATCCAAAATCGAATAATAATTCATCAAATTCATCAAAACATAGGTCCGTAGATAAGTATTGAAGTAAATATTTTATTCATGTATTTACAAAATTTTTCCGCAAATTTTTTTTTTTAATAAGACGGGTGGAAATTTATGCTTTTTCTAATTCATTTATTCTAATAAAAAATTACAAAATTATTTTTATAACTTGAATCATTAAATATATATAATGTCTAAAATTTTTTTTTTTTTTTTTTTTTTTTAAAAAAAAAAGAAAAGTATATTATAATAGAATTCACGTAAGTTGCTACATAATTCCTATAGTTTTGGTAAGAAAATTTTGTAAATTCCGTAAAACCACCTCAAAAGATTTTAAATCACTTTCTTCAGATAAAACGCGGGCACCCATACCCAATAATTTCCTTACGACGCGTGTAAATTTTAATAACCTTTCAAACACCTCGGTGAATAAATCCTCAATATCTTCCTTGTTTCTTTCTTCGGAAAAGAAACATGTGGTTAATTGAGACGTTGCCAATACGAAGCTCATCTCAATGATGATGATAGAAGATTTCCAAGTAATTTGCCAAAATTCCAAATCATCAATATTATTGAACTTATTAGTGTCAAGTATATATTCCCATAATTGAATTAACGTCATGCCATGGTCTATCAATTCAAATAACGTTGCGATAGTTGCCGGATCTTTATCAGTTACTTTCATCAATGGTTCTAAATATACAAGTTGATCTGACCATGACGGTATAGACATGTGAAAAACATTATGTGATTCCGTTAGATTAATATAAGTTGCCAGAATATTTCTGTTAATTGATAAAAGTTTTTGTTGAACTTTTTGCAAAAATTTGTTCATTTCGGAACCTCCATCAGATGAAGAAGTTAAATCAATGTCCGGTAGAACATTCTCGAATGCTAATTTGATCCCGCCAGTTAAAAGAATTGTTGATTGCTTCATTTCCTCCGGTGTCAGAGGTATCATCACTCTTGAAGAATATTTGGGATGCGTGAATAGATATGTTAGCTTCGCTAAAAGTATTAGCAAAGGATCATCATAGTAAAATAAGCATTCATTTGCAATATCCGGTTCCAAGGAATTTAAATGTATTGATAAATGATATAATAATATGGTAATATATTGTATCTCCTCCAATTTGAACATATTCGTCGGTAGTTCACATTCCATGGCTCGCTGAATTTGCTTCTTGTAAAGGCTGATAAATCCAACGACTGATTTCAAAATCATGTTCAAGTTCCTTTTCTCGACCGTACGTAACATAGCGGTAATAACTGCCAACATCAAACACCAAATCTTATGCCAATTTTCTTCTAGATTTGGTTCGACCTTTCCCTCTTGTAACTCCACCGAGAGCTTATTGTTACAAAATGCAGACATGATTCCATCTATAAGCAATCGCGATGCTCCAACCGGAAAATTGGCCAATGTCAGTAGAAAATATATCACCCCATCCGAGAATTTGGGTCGATCTTTCCAAGGCATCGACATCGAATAAATAAACATATTTAGAAGCAAGGTGATTATCTTCTTCTCCATAAGTATTCCCAACCAAATTGAAGGATACGGATTACACAATGGTTGTATGAGATATTCCAATACAGTTAATATTATCAAAATATCCTCCTCGCGATCTTGGTTAATCTCATCTTTCTTGGTGATCACAACTAAAAAATCGCATAATTCCGAAAGAAGGGATTGGCAACTTTGTCGAAATTGCGACAATACATTATCCTCCTCCTTTAGGATTTGGTTAGCATCGTGAAGTACCCGTAGACATAATATAAGTGATTGTAAGATTGGCCGATAGGTGGTTGACGTAAAGTGACCTTCATCCAGATTTTGCGTTTGATTGATAACGCTGGTAAGAGAATTATATAATAACGTAACTAATTCTGCGTAATGAACTATCCTAGGTTTAGATAAATCTTTCGATATGATCAGTTGCTCCATCGAGTGTAACAGCAAATCGGCAAGATCGTCACGAATAGTAATTTCTACATTATGCCCGCGTCGAATTTCATCCACAAGACGTTCCGCTACCTTCTTGAGTATCAGCCAAGATATGTCCGTTTTCTGTTCAGTGATCCAAAATCCATCAGATAATATATAAGATGTGATTTCCATAAAATACTTCCAAGACCTCAAGAGAACGACTTGAGAGCTAACTCTTGACAAATGATGAGATTCTTCACACAATGACTTCAGGAATGAATTCGCAATCGATATTTCTTTCGAGAGTTTTAACAATTTCCAAGCCAAATGTATATCGTATTTGAAATTATCTCCATAACGTCGTGTCAAATCATAATCATCACTCCAATACAAGATCGTTAAACGATTCAATTTAACCAAAGGAGACATATTCTCCTCGACAAATTTAGTCGACATGAGAATAGGTTGTTGATCGATCCGCGTAAATTTTTCAAGACAAAATTTTAACATATTTTCTTCAAGGATATTTTGAAGAATTTTTCTTATTCCTTCTGCGGGTAATGATCTAATAAATTCGCCACGATTTTTATTTTTTTTATCCTTCATCTGACTTGTAACGAGACAAAGTTCACGACCCAACAACCGGAATAAAAGAGCCTTGATATTACGTCCACAACAAATTTTTTCCACGTGAGCATTTGCTCTACTGACAACACTTCCTTGAGATAGTTCCAAGGACTCATCTCCATGGTGACCATTATCGTTTAATCTCATGTAGAGGATTTCCGTTATGTTGATCCATAATTCATTATTTTCTCGTAATTTTTTTAAAATTATAAATTCACCTTTGCGAACATTCTCCCATAATGCACTTAGGAATCGCACAGCGGCAAGAAACACTCGAGGCTCGGTATCATAAACTTTTTTCCAATCCTTTAAGAGACCAACAATGACATCATTAATGTTCATCGAAATTTTAAATTTCCTCTTTTTATCAAGTTTATTGGTCTCTTTTTTCTTGCCTTTACGATCCAGCTGATTGGAAATCAACTCAAATCCGCCAAAAATCGCCAGTCCAATATGAACCTTGGTTGAAACTGTGAAAAAATTCAAGATAGCAACTCGTAAATCTTCAACATTAATTTCAGTCGCAAATCGTTTTATGAAATTATTATATATGATTATGGTTTCAGCTTCATTTCCAAAGAGTCCACTCAACGAGGATTGAAACGGTATAGACCTTTCACCCAATGAAAAAAGAAGTGTCATCAGCTCACTAGATAAGATGGGAACCCCCAAGCTATGTGGGTATAAAATATACGAGGAAATGACCATTATCAACCCTCGGTTAAAGTTTACATTTGTCCGATCCAACATAGCTGATTCCAACCAGGAAACTTCCGAAGTTTTTATTTTATGAATTTTGAATAACCTTAAAAGAAATGCTAATGCCAATTCCAATAATTTATCATACTTTTTCAGATGAGAATTATCAGTCCTTTCAAAATTAAAGGAAAGTTTCTTGTTCCTTTCAATAATGGAAAATAAAGGTAAAACATTGTATGAACCTTCATTCATCATAAAATGATCCCATAAGTAGTTCCGAAGAGAATTTCGTAACGAATCCTTTGTAACATCTATGATGGGATCATTATAGTTAGGAATGTCGAAATCCGGAGGACAACCTAACAAGATTTTATTGAAAACCGTCAAACACTTGATTCCAATTTGAATATGTTCCAACTCATTTTTGTATCTCCATTGATCATAAGACACAAAGACGACATTCAATATATAAGAAGTTAAAGAATGAAGTATTTCTTTTGAATTATTCCATAATTCTTGATCTTGTTCCAAATTGAAATCATCCAAGTAATTAAAGAATTCGATAGCAAGATCTAAAACGGTTATCGTAATTGGATAACGACCTTCAACACATTCTTGCTTTAACAGTAAATGATGTAATTTACAGATAAACTGAGAGCTTTCCTCCGGGAGATCATCTGAAGTTAATTTCGGTAAAAATCCTGATTGTAAAAGATAAGACACGATCTTACCCTTAAAGTATGGCAACAAGGCTTTAACGCATTGCAGACCAGAGGTGATGAAATCAAGGACGTCAGGAATGTTATTCATGACGTATTCGATAACAGCAAAGATCGTGAATGCCAGATCATTGTGAGGTTTATTGTCTTTAAAACACGTTTCCAAATGATCCAATATCTTTTCGACCAAACTCGGAGAACTAGATAAAAGCGCGTAAAGAAGTTGTAATATTTCCTTGATTCGCGAAGGGGTTGGATCATCATTTAAAGTAGGATCGTAATCAGGAATGACCCTGCCTTGTATTAAAGGAAATGATTCCAACATCTCCAAAAAGAGTTGCCATCCGGAATATTTGAAATTCCACTGTACTAACTTGCTATCATCAAATCGTCCGATTATATAACCAGGTGTATTTTCTGGAATGGTAAAAATGCCTTGATAGATATTGTCAAAAAGCTTGATTGGCTTCTTGACATAAACCACATTCACATTGGATACTTCAAATTTGAGTTGTTCATCACGAACCAAGCAGGTGCATTGACTAAAATTTTTCAACAAGACAAATATTTCTTCGGCCGAATCCTCGTCTCCGGACAGTGCAGTGTATAGTCTCATTAATGGATGAAAATTTTGAGGAAACCAAGAAATTGACCAAGTAAATAAGGAAATTCGCTTTTCAAAAAACGAATCCTCTTTAAAGAAATCTCTGCAAGGGCCACCATCAACAAATACTTGCGCGAAACATTCAACCAGGAGTTGATGTTTAGGGATCTCGTGTATTTTAAATGCTTCAAAGATTGAAATAAAGTAAGTTTTAAAAGTCCTCTTATAACCCTTTACATTTAGTTCCTCTGGTCTGAAACACGGACCTTTGAAAATCTCATGTATAGAATCTAGAACGTTAAGGTTATAAGCCTTTGAAACATTTGCTGATATCATATTATTAAAATAACTTTCTAGATCTTGATATTCCTTTGGCCAACTTGTCTCATCATAAAAATGTTGTATATGTGTTAAATACGAAGACCATAACCAGAGAAATATTCCGTTAGATGGATCATCATTCATCTTCAATGCCCTCTCAATGACTGCCCTAACATCATCTGATGGTGCCACTCGTTTATTTTTTGCGTGAACAGAAGGGAAAATTCCAGTGAAATTGAATTCAACTAAGGTCATGAGAACTATAAGAATTTGAGTAAAATGATTAACTTCAGTTAATGAAACTTGACCGTTGGAGTTGATGTGTAACGAAAGAAATTGATTATATCCAAATTTTGTGTTCATGCAATGAGTCAGGAATTTTATCAAATATTTTTTTGTTGATTGTCTAGGGATATGCTCTTTATATATCAAACATAATAATTCTAATATCCCTATTTGTTCTTTAATATATTGCATTGAAAAACTAAAAGGTTTAATGTTTTCCGGTATGAAGGCTTGTACACCGATATCAGCCAAATCTTGAAATTGATCAAAAATTCTGTCCAAAAATTCACTTATATTAAGATTTTCAATAAAATATTTTGCCGAAATATAATAATACCAATTCGTATCTTTAGAATAAAACAATAATTTACACAAAATTTTTATCAAATTCAGACGTTCTTCATAATAAAATTCATGTAATTTTGATAAATATTCTCCATTATCCAATTGATTATAATCCTCATATTCTGATTCGAAACTTTTCATTATAAAGTGAGTTGTTCGTGTATTCAACTGAAGTGCTTCACTGGCTAAACCTTGTAAGGTATCATCTTTCGAAATATTAGTGTTATGACTATTATTAAAATAATCCAGACACACTTTTAATGATGGGCTGTGATGCCTTATTATTTCTTTCATGGCATTAGGTGGACATCTTATGTCTGCTTTTTCTAAAGCAAAACGTATAGCTCGAAAAGATCTGTTAAACCCCAAAAAGGAAGGAAAGATTAATATAAACGCTCAACCAAAGAGAAAAAAAGCAAAACGGTTTGAATTTTATTTTTTAAACGACGTTCTATCTTTTTTATTTTTAATTTTATTATGCACTTTAAACAGCATACTTCAAACTAATAAAAACGCGTCACAACAAAGGAAAAACCAACCTTTTATAACGATTAAATACCTCTGGGTTAACTGAAGGATCCGTAAGTTCAGTTCTTCCACCCTTTTGTATTTTAGGACTTGAAAGAGGGGTATTTAACGACAACCTAGAAGTCATTATTATGGTTTTCGCGCTCAAACAATTTGGGATAGTAATAATGAAAAGATACTTTTTTAATATCACAAGAGTTGAATAAATTACATAGTATTGTTTTATTCCCAATTAAAAATAAAACAACAAATGTGAATTTTTCGTAGTAGGTTGTACAAGATTTGTCCTTTCAAATTTTATTTTATTTATTTCCATCCACATGACCAAAAAGATTGTTAATGGCTACATCATCAAATGTTTTTTAATTTTTTTTTTTTAATTTTTTTAATTTGATTTGAAATATTTATTAAGATGAAATGAAAAAAAGGATAAAGAAACATAAAAATCAATAATTTAAGAATCGATTTTTCACGACAAAAAAGAACATATAAAAGCTAAAGAAATTATTGCTTGTCACTATGAGGTAGAATATTCGAAGAAGATTTTGAATCGACAGGAACAGAATCATATGCAGGTGGCGGAACAACAGTATAAGCAGGGATAGGAGTATAATATACAATATAACTAGAATCTCTAATGTCACCATATTGTCTTTCGACCTTAAGTCTTTGATAATAAGCCCAGACAGCCATACAGAAATGAAGCTACAAAATTATAAATGAAAAAAAAAAAAGTTTGTTAACAAAAAGAATTTGTGACATTATTTTCATGGGAATAATAATATACTTACGTCTATGAGACAACTTATTGCGAGCATGACAACCATTGAAGCAGCAGTTTTAATGTACCATTCCATACAAGAATCCATATCCATATCAACATCAGGTTGCTCAATTAATTCTGAACAAACATCTTTATCAAAATAGAATGCCACAACCGAAAATACTATTGAAATTGTAAATCCTAACATAAGTTGCCACCAATAAAACATGGCATAAATTTTCACATATTTAAGGTTATTCTATATATATTTATATAAAAAATTTATTTCTTTAGTTTATGCTCAAGAACCAATACAATTGATATTATGTTATGTTTACCTTTAATACACCAGCGATACCCGCAAGACAGGCAAAGGAAGCACCTAAATAATATGTAGATAAAACAGTATAAAAGAATCCAAATTGGCCTGCCAAGATTGAAAAATGATACGCATTTGATAGATAAGCCAACTATAAAATAAAATAGTGTAAAGAATAAGTAAATGAGAAAAGAAAACTTAAAAGAGAAGCGTCATAGAAGATGCTTTCAAACGAGCACTTACGGCTCCAAGAGAGGCTAATAACAGGGTAGCCGTTCTAATAAATCAAAACCGTTAGTTAATAATCCTCATTCTAGTTATTCCCATTAACTTTCGTAAACTTTAAAGTGTCCTACCTAAGGCCAATACAGAAACAACACTTTGACAACATTATATATACTTTAAAAACTTCTAATAAATAAAATAAAAAAATTGGTTATATAGAAAGGTTTATGAGATCAGCTAATAACCTAAAACTTCCATTGAACATCCTCATTTATAGTTCTTTGTACTCCATTATTTTTTTTTCCGACGCAGTATCCTTTTTTGGGCAAAGTACGAGTTTATTAAAAAATCTCCGCAGTATGATTGTTTTTGTTCGATACGGACTATATAAATAACGTTCCACATGATTTTCCGTGAAAGCATTTTCAACGAATCGGCACAACGCATGTGACGATTATCGTAATTGGGGACATCAAAAAGTTTCATAAGAGCGACAATAATGGACACGAATTGAAAATTTTTTGTCTTCGTAAATATCAATCTTTTTTATTATATAATAAAAGCAAACCACCACATCAATATATTTTGAAACGGATAAAGTGAATAAAACTTTTCTTCTAACTTAACCATTTTTAGCTAAATAAACTCATAGCTTTGAATTCGCTGAATCTTAAAGTTTTGATAGAGGCGAATTATTATCGTAATAATAACCTTTTTATCACAGAATGTTCAATAAAAAGTACACCTAAAAGCTATTTTTAAATGTAGTAAAAAATGATGTGAAAGTTTTTTAAAGATTTATTTCTGTTAGAATTATTGTTCCACAAGTTGGGAAATGTTTGCATGGTGTGTGAGTGATTCGTTTCGTTCCTGATTTAATCAAATCACTTATGTTAGTAATGACATGTTAGTGGCTTATGAAACCGGGAATATATCCTTATGTTACCTATTTTACAATTTAAAAAATTGTCTCGACCTAAAAAAAAAGTTCATCTATATTTTTTTTTTTTTTTTTGGTTTTTTTTTATTGTGGCTTTCCGTTCGGATATTTTACTTGATAATCTTTTTCACGTTTGAAGAGCAAGATATGTGGTTCGGGTGCGTGAATTAAATAATGTTCCCAACCTTGAGATTGACGTACTCCAAAACCTCTCCATTCTTCTTCTGATAACAATGTGTCTTGGGGTAAGAATTGTGCTATTTCTCTTGGTAAAGTGACGTGCCTATATTCTGAAATATCGTCGTAATATCTTGAAGAATAGCAAATGTGCGGAGAATATTCTTTTATATAGTAAGTTCTACGTTCTTCATATGGTGCGTATTTTAACTTTTCTTCGTATTTGCGACGTTCTTCCTCATATTTACGACGTTCTTCTTCTGTAAGTTTCGGTGGTTCTGGCGGTTCTTGTGCTTGTTGTTGCTGCTGCTGTAATATTTGCTGTTGCTGAAGTTGTTGTTGTTGAAGTTGTTGCTGAAGTTGAGGTTGCTGCGGTTGCAGTATTTGCTGTTGACCTTGCATGATACTTCTGGTCAACCTTTTTTTTTTTTTTTACGTGAAAATGAAAACAAAAAAAAAGAGTTGAAAACCGGAGAAACTACCTGAAAGCGTTAAAATAAATGGTTAAAAAAAAAAAAAGACGCGACTAAACATTATTAAACTATTCGACTGACTATAACTTACTTCTACTTACAAAAAGGCAAGGGAAATTTAACGCATTAACAAATGTTACTTGAACTAGCTATTTGACTTAGACAACTTTGTGATTTAATACTAAAAGATTTCGCGTTTTATGATTAGATCACATGACTCATCCATCTTTAGTTCGGTGCTACATCGAATCTAGCCAATCAAATCAAGTAAAGAATTTTGTCAATGCTGCGCCACGACGATTGTCGGCAAACCTTGAAACTCTACTCTGAACAAGTCGGTTTCTTGCCAGAAAAAATAAAACCGATCAGTTCCTAGTATAAAAAGTTAAGGAAAACATGGCACAACCTCCGAATGTGCCACAAGCACAGCTAAAGGATCAAGTACCGAGAGATTCTAGAGTCATGCAGCTTATATTACAAGCCGCAGGAGTTGAAGATTATGAACCAAAAGTAGCTCAACAACTACTGGAGTTCGCTCATCGTAAGTTGATATTGTTTTAAATATTTTTATTCATTAAAACTATACACATCGATATGTATGTTCTCACATAATTTGTTAATTTCATTCCATCATGAATTGGAATCATCTTATTGATACTTTGAACATTAATAGGATATACAGTTGATGTTATTCAAGATGCTTCGGCCTATGCTGAACATGCCGGGAAGAATGATATTGATATCGAAGATGTAAAACTTGCAATTCAAGGTCGTATAACTCATTCGTTCACTGCACCACCACGACAAGAGGTTCGATATTTCATTCTTGAATTTTTTTTTTATAATCATAATCTTTATAAAGATTTAACGTTTAATGTGACTTTAATATAGTTCTTGGCACAACTTGCTAAAGAACGTAATAAAGAACCATTACCACCTGTACCAGAAAAGTATGGTCTGAGGCTGCCACCAGATCGTCATTGTTTAACAGCCGTTAACTTTCAACTTATACCTGAGGTGAACTCTATTTAATTTTCGTTCCATTTTCTTTTTCTTTTTCTTTCGTTTTTCGTTCTCGTTCTTGTCTTTAATTCAGAATTTTTGTTTTCCACTATATTTGTACTAAATGATCTTCTTTAAATTTAAGCCACCACCTGGTCAATTAGATTCATCATTAAATATGGACATATCACAAGTTTTACCTGATGATAATGATAATTATGATGATATGATGGAAGTTCATCCATTTAATGTCAATAAGGATAATAATGATGATGAACCTTTTACAATGACAACTTCAGTGAAACATGAGGATTCTTCTGCAATTGGTGGGGTCGATTCAGATTATGATATGCAAGATGCTGATTCTCCTGAACAGATTGCCACTGTTACTACTACAAAAAGACCAGAAGATGATGATTATGATTTTTAATTTTTTTTCTGATTATAGATTACATAGAAAGGACTTTTTTGGATTTATATTAATATGGAGCAAAAAAATCTCTCAGATTTTGAAGTATACCTAATTGAATTTATATTTGTATAAGTATAACTGAAAGCATGTCAAATATTTGTAAAATCATAGACATTTAAAGGCCATATCTAGGCACATCGAACGATTGTCGACATAATTTTTTGAACTTGTTTGTTTCACACCTCAACTTTTTTGTTTTTTTTGAAAAAAAAGGGGGAAATAATACCATTTAAAAAATAGCTTGTTCATTTAAATCATCAACTATTTATTCTATTTAAAGTATATTCATACTTTTGAGAATCCTTACTTACAGGTAAACAGATATATCATATTTATAGGTTTCATTTACAAAATCTCGGGTATTATTATTGAAATTCAAATTCAAGCGCCAATGAATTTCATTGTAAATACAAATAATATAGTTCTACTCCAAGTAAAAAAAATTTTTTTTTAAAAAATAAATACTTGTAAACTGGTTATACTTGTTATTTGTTTCAAGATATATACGTTGGATAGAATCGATTTATTTGTTACCTTAAAAATCCTTGTGATTATGATTAACAAGAAATCAACGATTCAACCTTTTTTAATCTAGTAATCAAAGAAGTAGCATTATAAGGGAACAAATCCTTTTCCATCAACAATTGTATTGATTGAATCAAATTTTTAAAGATCCCCGCGACTCTTTCAAACATTATCGAATTCCTTTCATCAAATTTCTTACATGTGATAAGAAATTGAGAAATATCTTGTTCAAGGTATTTACAATAATTTAAAAGAAATTCCAAAAAGATCGTTTCATTTGAAATTAAAAAATCCAATAATATTGAGTGATTAAACCCTGTGGAAATCAAAAATCTCAAGAAGAAATCATGTGAAGTACAAAAATTCAAGACGTGATTGACTTGTGATGATATGCACTCGATTATTGATCTACAAAAAGAATTTCAAAGGTTGAATTAAGTGAATTGTATTTGAATAAATTAATTAACTTAACAAATAATTACTTTCGTCCTCTCATGTTTTCTTCTTGAGACTCTTCGTCAAAATCGATCAACCTCCTCTCAAATTCTTTAAATAAAAGTTCCAATCGTACCAATTTTAACATGAAAGTAACTAGATCACTATCATTATTGGTATACCAATTGAATATATCTTTAATCGAATCTTCATTTTGTTGTAATAAACCTGATAACATATAACACATAAATGAATAAAATGATTCAATTAAGTTACATTGAACTTTTTGAAATGACGATCGAATCGTACTTACCTCGACTGAATGCTAAAATGTCGTTCAACATGTGAAGTTTTACATCATTTGAAATGTAATGATCGATCTCTATCACCCCTTTGTCACTTTCCATGTAAAATTTCATCAGGGAAATGTAAACCTCGATGTAAATGTTTATTAATTTCTTTACACATTCGATATTTATAGCAACATCAAATTCAATCTTGTCGTTATCAATTTGTCTATCGAAAAATTCGGTATGATCATCATCGAGCTTAAGACAACCTACAAGCTTTTGAGCATTTGAAGCAGCCAAAATTTCCTCTGTATAATTCCGTATACCAGTAAGAATTAAAAAGATCTATTATTTTATTGAAAAGCAGTAACGAAATCTTATAAGAAAAAAAAAAAAAAATGACTAGTAAGGGAGGTGTATTTCCACTTTGTAAGATGTTTTCTTACCATGTTAATATCATTTGAAGACTTCATCGTACGATGTAGAATGTCCAAGACTTTACTGATAATCGGTGGATAATCATGACACAATAAATCACATATTGATTCAATCTTTGAGTTGATTTTTTTCAAAAGATTTTGAAAATCTTGTACTAATTGAAAGTCAAACACATTCTCTATCTCATCAATCGCAAGTTTTTTGATGTCCAAAATGATTGTAAGAGTTGGAACGATGATCAATTTTTTATCCTTACTACTCATATCCATAATTTTTTCGAAATCAAACCGTTTATCAAGTATATTCAATAATCGACATCCCACGTGTTGTGTTAAATCATGTTCGGCCAATTCATTAATTACATCAGATAAACGATGCCTAAAATCTTTTAATATACTATGAAATATCTCCAAGGCTGATTCAACAGAAGCAGAGACTGACGAGTCTTTCAATTTATCAAGACTTGATATGTATAAATCACAAATGGTTTCTAATAATTGCCTTTGAATTTCTTCTAAATTAACATTATCTATTAACAACTTTTTAAGATGGAAAAAGTTAAAAACAAATGGATTGATTGATGTTGACGCGTCAAAAATATATTACAGCTTGTTCTTTATGAATTATTACATTCACACCTTCTTATTAGACATTAGTAAAAGCCATAATGTCAAGATTTTTTTTCCCAAATATACAATAAAATCATCATTATGTACAAGATATCGCGCCTAAATTAATTAATAATAAAAAAATCTTTAAATAATCAATTACGACAAATTTTTTTTCCCCAAAATATGTAATAGATACCAGAGTACGTTGATTATTAAAGAGAAGGTTGCAGAATTTTGTTGCACGTTCATTAACAAGGAAAGAAGTGTCATGCATGTAATAATTCTGTAACACATTCTTTATAGTGGATAATCTTATTAAAATTAGTTTTTGATGTTTGAGTTCTTTGGAAGTATCAATAGTATTTAGGAACTGAAAATCCTATTATGAATAAACGTGGTGGTATTCTGTGTATTAATAAATAATCTTAAACGAAGCCAACCCGAAGGTAATAAAATTTCTTTTTGTTTACATTTAAGAAATTCTCTAAATGTTCAACTTGAAAATCAGATGTTTCATCGAACTTCTCGGGTGGCTCTGTCGTGGTAACTTCCATGAATTTTTTTTTATAAAAAGACAATTTTTTTACAAAACGAACGAAATATTTATTACATGCGTTCGATTTTATCACATACCCACATTGTGGGGTGATAATTGCGAGATAAATAAACATAAATAATATATATAGAGTGATAATGATACGTCAATATAAACTAAACGATCATATATAATAGTAAATTAAGACAAGGATTTCCTTAATTGAACTTTTAATTTAACTGCATCTTCAGCGAATTTACGAATACCCTCAGAAAGTTTTTCGGTGGCCATCGCATCCTGATTGAGTTCCCATCGGAAAGTTTTTTCGTCAAAGGTGACTTTTGGTTCTGAAGTCGCTTTAGCTACGAAAATCGAATTAGTGAATTAATTAAATGATATTCAAAATCTTTCAATTCAATCAACAGATTAAAAACAATTACCTGATTCTGGACTCAATTTTCTTGCAATTTTCTTTTTGTCTTCTTTCAAATCATGTAATAAACTGGGACTAATGGTTAAGAAATCACAACCAGCTAATTCTTCAATCTCGCCAGTGTTACGGAAAGAAGCACCCATTACAATCGTTTTATAATCATAATTCTTATAATAATTATAAATCCTAGTTACAGATTGAACGCCGGGATCTTCAGCGGCTTCATATGTTTTGCCAGTGCTTTTCTTGTACCAATCAAGAATACGTCCAACAAATGGACTAATTAATGTCACTCCCGCCTCAGCACAAGCGACTGCCTTAAAAAAAAAAATGCGCGATATTATTTATTTAATTCAAAGAGGAGGAACTAGATTTTTATGATGACTTACTTGAGGGAATGAGAAGAGGAGAGTGAGATTGCAATGAATTCCTTCTTGTTCTAACTGACGAGCAGCTTGAATTCCCTCCCAAGTAGATGCAACCTTGATCAATATTCTTTCCTTTTTAATTCCAGCTTCCTCGTAAAGTTTAATAAGACGTCTCGCTTTTTCAATGGTTGCTTCCTTATCAAAAGAAAGTCTTGCATCCACTTCAGTTGAAACTCTTCCCGGAATAATTTTTAAGATTTCTACTCCGAAATTAATCAACAATTTATCCATCGCCCACTCAACCTTCTCATCAATGGATTCATCTTTTTGTTTTGCATAATCGACGGCCGATTCAATTAATTTAGCATAATTTGGTTTTTGTGTAGCGGCTAATATCAACGATGGATTCGTAGTAGCATCTTGAGGTTTATATTGCGAAATTGCTAAAAAAAAAAAACGAAAAAAAAGGGAATAAAATTCACAAAATTAGACGCGCTTGACACCATCCACAAAAATTTGTAATACTTACTTTCAAAATCACCAGAATCCGCAACGATGGTGGTGTGTTGTTTAATTTGATCAAGAACTGATGACATAATTGATTTCCTAAAAATGTTCTTTAAAATTTTTTTTTGGGATTTGATCTATATTTATATGCAAAAAATGGTTATGACAAATATTTCTCACTAAACTATTTTACATTAAGGAAATGATTATATAATTAATATTAGTAATCTTGGATGTTTTCAAATAAAGAAGATCATTGCTTATTTTCAATATCAACATTGTCAAATCATTTGGATATTACATTTAATATATATAAAAATATTTTTTAGAAAATTAAATAAATTAAATAAAGATCTTTATTAAAAAAATAAATTTTTTTTTTTTTCGTATAAATAGTATCTAATAATAAACTCAAATATACATGATTAGAATTATAAGATTTATTATTTATAAAGTCAAAAAAAAAAAAAATAGAAATGTTGTCACGTGACTTGATTATCTATTATCGACTATTTAATATCAAAAAACAATTGAAAAAATGTACAAGTGAAGATATATTGATGGTTAACTTATAAACATGAAAAGCAATAACCTATTATAAATTCCTATTATCAATTAATGAGAATTAAAAAATAAAAAATTGTTTCTTTTCATTTTCCTCTTGTTAATTCATCATCTAAGACGGAGGTTCTATTTTGGGATTTAATAATGGTGATGAACGGCGACTTTTACTCCGTTCTGATGATTGTTGTGATGGTCGTTCTCCAGAAAAAGGTCTTGGAGAAGAAGTAAAATTATGTGTATGCCCATGACTAACCAAACTCCCCTGCATTCCTTGTACTATACCAGGAGAGCTGCTTGGCATAACTATAGAAGGTCTGGTATGTAAAAGATGCTGATGTTGGCCATTATAATTTAATTCACCCATGACTGATGTACTGCTCATTGATGACGTTGGACGTCCAACTAAATTTCTCTGCAAAAGAAAATGTGGATGCTGTCTGACCGGTGATTGAGTAAATAAATGATTAGAATGACTAGTTCCGTTAAAAGGAGAATTCACTCTGTGAATTTGCGTTATCATTTCATTTGTATTATAATTGGGAGTTTGATGAGGTTGCAACGTCGTGAAAGAACTTTGCTGCGAAACGTTGGTGTTATGCTGAGTTATTGGTGATGTTGTTGATGAACCCGTCATGTTGACTGGACTGGATAAAACCCCAAACGCTGGAGGTCTATATACATGAGGTACGTTTATATTATAATTTTGCTGTATATTAATAGGTACGAATTTTTGTGTAGCGTTATTGGATGTGATGTTATGAATAGGAACAACCGAGTTCGTTATTCTCTGCTGTTGAATTTGTTGTGATTGCCGAGGTTGTTGATGATGATGCGATTGTTGATGTGCTTGATGTAATGGTTGATGTACCTGTTGACCAGATTGTTGCTGCTGCTGAGGCATGTATACGTAAAGCTGTGAAAAACGCTGCGATGCATGCTGTTGATTTTGAGGATTCGACATTAAATGTGCGTAAAACTGTCGTTGCTGTTCCATTTGTTGTTTCTGCATATTCTCTTGTTGTTTCTGAAACATTTGTTGCATATGATAAGATCGCGCGTATTGCTGCGACGACGGTTGCTGTGATAATGATGTTGGAATGTTATTTGGACGATGCAACTCTGAATTTTGCGTCATTAAATGATTTGGAACTTGTTGCATAACAACATGTTGCATGTTCGTTTCACCTGTTATACTATGTCTGCGATCATTAACCATTGGATCGTTACTAACTTCGCTTTCATTATCTTTACTGCTTTGTTCGTCAAACCAAGAAGCGACATCTACATTTGAAGTATTCTCTTCGTTATTCAACAATAATGAAATATTACTTTTTTGTGGCCCTTGCGGAGTAGATCTTTTTATACCGGAAGAATTTGATGGATTGTCTGACAAGCTAAATGATTGTGATATTTGTCTTTCGGTAGCTATTTGTGTAATATTTACAGAATTCTCCATAGATGATAAGAAATCAGCTCGAGGAAAGGTTGTTTCATTATTCTGAGAATTGATTGATGCATTATGTGCATTATTCCTATCATTTGATACACCATGATTAACTAGAACATTAGACTTCGCTTGTTGCTGCTTTTCTTGTGAACTCTGTATCTCATCACTTGTGGTAGGTCTACTCCTAACCTCTTCCAAGTTAATTCCAATATTTTGTTTTTCATAATGTTTTTCATAGTAATTTTTTACTTGGACTTCAGTTTTTGATTTGATTACATCGGCTATTTGCTTGAACTGTTTTCCGAAATCTTTTAATGATTGTTCAAATTGGCCAACTTCTCTTTTGTTCCAATAAGATGATATTTTCTTTTGTGATATACGATCATCATTCACAGTTGAACTTTTATGTGATAAAACTTCATTATCCATTAGATTTTCAGTTTGTTTTGGACGACCTTTGCTTTTGGTTACTGAAGTCATTTCCGGTTGTGTGGAAGAATGTGTATCATTCCCGTCAAGTGACATCAAGTTAAAATTACGAGCTGTTTCTTCAACACCATCATCATTAACAGAACTTAGCTTTCGAGTCTCTTGTACATCTGATATTACGACTGACAAATTACTATTCTTATCGTGACCTGTGCTGGGTGGGACGTATACAATATTGCGTTTTTTCTTTACCGGCTCACCTTCTTGCTGATCAGAATCTTTTACCGCTGATACTTTTGACCTTCTTCTACCCTTTGAAACTCTAGCCTTCTTAGTAACGGATAATGTACTTTCCTCTACAACCCCTTGTATACTACAAGCATGATTCGATTCAGGATTATTAACAGGTTTTTCTTGCGTTGTTGACTTTTCCTGAACATTCGATAATGCATTTGCATTACGATGTTGCGGCTGCATCGATACATCCGACCTTTCCTCAGAATTTTCTTCATTTACATCATCTTTATGTACTTCTGATTGTTCTATCGATGGAGAAACAGTTTCCGTGATAATTATTGGTGGCCTTTCAATAGGTTTATTAGAAATTTCATTAGTTTCCTCAGGAATTTCGTTAATCGACGTAAACCCTTCATTAACATTCTCCAAAACTTTAATATTATTTATAATTACACTAGTACTACTGGAATCTATTAAACCAATGTTTTGATTATTATTATTCAATGTATTGTTGTTTTTTTTCGCTTTACTATTCGGAGCGATTGTACGCTGGCCTCGACCATTTTTTGGAATCAATTCTTTCAGCTTTAATTCTTTTTTATTTCGATAATAATAAATAACACAATCATTAGCAGACTTATCTTTAAGATGCTCTGCGACTTTACCAAATTTTTTTGGAAAAGACTTGAAAAGTTCATAAAAATCTTCTCGTTCTTGATTTGTCCAATCAACGTTCAAATCGACATTGTAATCATAAAAATCTTCAGGATCCGATACACTTCGATTATTGTTAATGAATTTTGCTTGTTGTCTTTCTTTCGGATCTAAAATCATGGGAGGAATGTTTGCCCACGTTTGGCATTTACGCTGTTCATCTTGAAGTATTTTCATAACTTCTTCCATTTCAGCCTCAGATCTGACAACATCACCACGACGTCTTCCTCTATTTGTTCGAACCGGCCATCTTGCGGCAAATCCAGATGTAGAATTATTATCATTATCATCTTGTTTCGTTTTTCCTTTCGTCTTTTGCAGCATTTCAAATTTTTGTTTCCATGAATAATAAAGTGTTTTCCATTCTTGTTGCAAAGTCTGCTCTTTAAGTTTAATACTTGCTTTCTGATCTTGAAATTTTTTTACTAATAAAAGACGGAGCCGGTTGTGATCCAAAATGTTCTGTTTATAAAAAGGATATTCTGGCAAACTTTTATAAATTTCATTTGTTTGTCCCCAAGATCCAAAACGATTAAATGAATCAAAAGGAAAAACAACACATTTATTTGTTCTTTCCTTGTTTTCTGAATAAATAATTTCCCACATTGTATTTCGTTTACATGTCTCCGTGGGGGAATCTTGATAAGTATTAGAGGCATGATCTCCTTCATGATCATTTGTTACTTTATCATTTTCTGGCGAAACTGATAACAAGGTATCAACATTTTGAACATTATTTAATTTATGATTGGCAGTCAAAACATTATTAATATTCGCTTGTTCATTAGTGAGGGTTGACTCCATTTGTTCTACTTGAATTAATATAGCTTCTTGATGAAACTCAAAATTAACGCGTTTATTGGATTTAGATTTCCGATTTGCGCGTGCAAGGTTTTTTTCTTCAATGTACCTTCTCTTTTGATCAAGAAGGCTTTGATAACGATCAATTTCATTCTCAACTTTTTCTATCTCTTCTCCTATTGCATTATAATCAATTTTATCATCTTCCAATTGAGTTGAACCTTCGATAATATATCGGGGAGAATTTGTAACTTCTGGAATTATAGGTAAACTAAAGTTATCATGATTTACTTTGTCACCAACTTTACTACTAAGATTATCTAGTTGAATGTCCATTTCGCCATTTATTTTTTCATCACCACGAGAAGTCAAAGTCTCTTGCGATTCTCCATTATAAATATTTATGCTAATTTGATTACGATTAATCGAAGTATCAATAGTTTCATTGCCCTTTTTCGATATCTCGACACGATATTCCGTTGAATCATCAACTGCATCAGATTCTTCCATTGATTCAAGTTCATCAGAACAAACAGATAGTTTATCTTCAAGTTGAGGTTGTGATGGTTGTTCATCATTTTCTCCCGAACTTAAATCCATATCAGCAATTTGATCGGTAACCAGTCCAGATTCCACAGCTTCATCTTTTGATAATCTTTTTTGTTCTCGTTCTTTTTGCTCATTTATAGCAACAAGACCAGGATCTATACTTCTCCACCCCGTCCAACCTCCTTTCTCACTATTGCCATAACCTTCAATATTCTCTTCTACCCCATCAAGATCATTTCCATTGAAAAGCCTTTCTTCGAATTCATTATTCGCAGTTCCAGAAGTTCGTAATTTTACAAGATTTTCATCATTATTTGATGACCTAGTTCCCGTCATTTTACAATTTTG